ATGACAGGCTCTTGATGCCAACTTCTTGACTTAACACAAGTCACTACCTGTAATGCATAGCATTCTACTAAACTGGCTTGTGAGACTTCTTGCTTCACTCCATTCTGTCAAGAGCAAGTATAAGGAAATAATAAAAATATAAGATTTAGTTGGAAGAAGTTGCCTGAAATCTGTCATGTAACTTTGAACCTGTTTTTATGAAGTGGTCTTTCATAAATAAATTTTAAGCCGATGTAGTAAGGACTTATTCAGGTATGTCAATGAGAGGAAGACAATTTTTTTTTCCCTCCAATTCTGTGTTTGTTCCAGAAGTGCAGTTTTGGGGAGAAGAAACTAGTTGCACATCAAATTTGATGAACAGTTTTGTTCTAAGTTAGCAACATTTGAAGACCAAAAGATTTCAGATGTGTGAAAATTGAATACTGACTTTTAGATTGGGATAATCACCTAAGTGCATTAGCAAGATAAACTGTGTAGGTGATGAAACATACTTTATTAGACCAGCTGATGTGATTGGGCGAAGAGTGATACAGGGGTGTACTGTTGAGTTTCTGAAGGTTAGTACAACAAGACAGATGACTGTTGTAGTTCATGAGGAGAGGGCAGCATGGAGTGGTGGAAGGTAAAATCAAGGAATTTCACAGTACAAGAAGATGGAATAGGAAGGGTTACCATTTGTACAGTAACAACTTTGGGAAGTGCTATTGTAAAAATTACTGATTGGAAATCTGCTAGTGAAGAATAGAAGAAGAAATGTAGAGGTGCTGTTTCGATAACATCAACTAATGGGTATTGGCATGAGAGAAGTCAATTAAAGTTGACTTCTCACAGCAGTCGGCAGTTGTTCATTATTTAATTTGAATGTCCAGGGTAGCAGAGAAGGCAGTCAAATCCTCTGAAAAATTGGGACTCGATGATCTTAAAGGTCTTTTCCAACCTAAATGTTTCTATGATTCTATCTAGGTGCTTTTAATGTGGTATCCAAGATTAGAGGGCACGACAACCTTGGCTGTCACTTTTATATATGAGGCCGGGTATTCATGAAGATACACTATATTATCACTGGGTATTATCTCAATACCTTGAGAACAAATGATGGTTCTGAGAACATCTTCTCAGCTGTCACTTTGCATGCTAAACTTCTTACATTTTTCCTCTTCAAATCAGTATCAAGTCTACTGGTCATTATTTTTCAGGGTTGTGGGTTTTTTTTTTTTTTTTTTCATTTGAAGAGATAAATTGGAAAAGTGATGTCCGCTAATCCATGCTACCAAAACTTAGTTCTTATGCCATGGTTTCAACCTTAGTATAAGCTTCTGTAAGCGACCCAAGATACTGGTATTTGTCCTCTTTCTGTCTTTTCTGGATGGGAAATAAATGTAAGTTTTCTTTCACTGAGTGCTGCAGCTCTTCGGAAGATTTGAAGAATGAGTCTTGAATCCCAGAGTTTAGTTCCAAATCCTGGTTAGGCAGTCATCTTGTTCAGACTCCGGTGTGTTTCTCCTTCCTTGTGGTTCATGCATATGGTCATTCAAATCTGCTGTCTCCTTTTGCACTTGAGTGGGCTTCTAAGTGAAAAAAAATCAAAGGAACAGGTCATCCCAACACTTTTGACTGATGTTGATGTTACAGTGGTCTTTGACAAGAAGCATAATTAAGAGAAAATCCTCTGTAATTGCTCCGAAAACACTACCTAGTGATGAACATGCAGGCAGCTGCCTTAGAACTAGGTTCTTTTGTCTTTTAAGCGTTCACACAGACTGTTCATTAAAAGCCGAAAACTTGGCCAAAGGTGTAGCTTTTCAAGGAGACCACAAAAGACATCTCCCTGGAGCTTACATTCCCTCTTCTTTCCATTCCTTTGACATTTAAAATCTTCTGGTTCAAGTGTTAGAATTTCTACAGCTTCCCAGTGAAGTAGAAATCGGCCTGACTAGGCTTCTTTTTGTGTGTGTGTCTGTGTGTGCGTGTGCATGCACATACATGCAATGGATGCCTTTTTGGTCCCTAAGGGGGGGCACGGGCGGCGGGATTTAAATCAGATTTATCACATTGGGAAAGTTTAATCCAGTTACTTGTTTGCCTGAGTCATAAGCAACAGATTTTTATAATATAAAGATTTAGGTCATCTTGACTATTTGGACCCTATTGTTTCTGCGTGCAAATGATTATGCAAATAATTGTCAAAAATTATTGAAATCCTAATTTTTCAAGAAATGTAATAGATCTACTTGGTAGTAAACTTACTACTATCCATATGAGATGAAAAGGAGTCACAAGGGAAGGAGACTGTTAGAACATGTGGTAGAAACTTTAATAATGGTGTGGCACTTTCTATCTATGAGGTTGGGGAATTAAAAATGTTGAAACAACATTTCTCACAGGCTGTGGCAATAACACTTAATGGAAGCACATTATTTAGATTAGCCATGTACAAAAACTCAGCAGGATTCTATAGGAACTGCACTGTCTTCAAGTAAACTCTATGAAAAGTTAATCATGCTTTTTTTGATGGCTTCCCTGTCCATCTTCTAGCTCTATATAGGCTCGGGATTCCAAGCATAACAAGTGTCCCCCTC